CCGCTCTTCTCCTCGTCCTCTCCCCCTCCTGCCTGCTCTGTTATCCGCGGCAGACACCCCCGCCCTGCACGCACACACACACAGAGACGCGCACGCACGCACGGACCCCACCCCCCACCCCCGTGCGCGCGACAAACACGGACTTTAAACGTGAAGGTTTATAACATCCACACTGGCGAGGTGGGTGCTCCCTGTGCGTGTATCTAACGTGTGGCTCTAATTCCTCACTTCACCATCTGTGTCGCAGTTTCACGTCTCCAAAATGAGCATACGCATGKGTCAAAGCTGACGTGAAGCACCGCACATTTTCATGTCAAGTTTGGATTTTATAAATCACAACCTTGGCGTAAAAAGTGGCGTACGCCAGTTTCTGGGCTCAAATTGTGCATACGCCAAGTTTTATAAATCCGACCCCAGAACAGTCATATAAAAAAATACAATAATGTAGACAAATTGAAAAATAAGGTTGTGGGGGAGAAACATCGAAGTGAGGACAACAAAACAGATATATTGAAAATCGGAGTTAACAGCGGTAGGCTAATTTGAAAAGATGTGTCTTCAGGCCAGTCTTAAACAGGGAGAGAGAGGTGGTATTTCGTAATCCATGGGGAAGTGAGTTCCAGAGCTGCTGAAAGCTCTGCTCCCCATGGTGCTTAGGTGGGCAGGGGGTACTGAGAGTTGGAGGGAGGCGGCAGATTTTAGAGAGCAGGAGGGTGCAGAGATGTCCAGGATGTCAGACAGGTAAGGAGGGAAAGATTGTAGATAGCTTTGAAGGTGTGTAGGATAATTTTAAAGATGCGGGATTTAACTGGGAGGCAGTGGAGCTGGAGTGATGTGGACAGAGGATGAGATTTGCATGATTAAATGGGCGCTGATTTCTGAACCATCTGTAGTTTGTGAGGGGATTTATTGGGGAGGCCAAACAGGGAGTTGTAGTAGTCGATCCTGGATGTTACTAGGCTGTGTACAAGGATGGCAGTGGAGCGGGGGGTGAGTGAAGGACAGAGACGGTTAATGTTGTGAAGATGAAAGTATGCAGATAGAGTCACGTCAATGTGGGATGTGAAAGAGAGTGGGATGACACAGGTTCTTGACCTGAGGCAAGGGGAAAGAACAGAGTTGTTAAGTGTGAAGAGAAGATGTTGGGATTTGGAAACTTGAGAGTTTTGTCCCAACAAGGAAGAGTTCCGTTTTGTTATTTAGTTGGAGGAAATTATTGGAGAACCAGTTATTTAGCTCACTGAGGCAGTCGGTAAGATTTGATGATAAAGTGGAATTACCCTTGTACATACTTCATTCTTACATGTCACAAACTGGGTATTTACTGGTAAGTACTTTGGCTCTGTCTCTTATGACTGGTTCATAATTTCAGATTTTAAGTGTCATATAAAACTATTTTTACTGTACAATTCGAATTACTATAAGGTTAAAAACAACAATGTGCAATCAGGGATGAAGCTTGGACAAGAAAAATAATTCTACATTTTTTTCAGATGATGTTATGCCGTATTGATGTCAGCTATGGGATCAAATGAAAACTGATGTATTCTTTACATGGTGTTTTCTTTTTTGTCCACCTTTTAATGTTTGAGATTGTTTTTACAACTTTGACTGTTAAGAATCTGAGTTTGAGCTCTGATAAAAAAAACCCGAAAACAGATAAAGGTTTACAAATTTTATTAAAATTGCTGGTGTGGAGCTGGAACAACCCAGGTGCGTGGGTCCGGTTTTCTGGACAGAAAAAACAGGTTAGTGGCTGTAAGACTCTGGGACAAAATACTACTAGTATTTTTAGCCACTAACCTGGTGTCAACTGGGAGCCTCCGTGTGGAAACGCAGACTGTGTCAGTTTGGTTCCGGAGCAACACGATGACGTCACAAACAATCCTTGGGAGCGTTGCGGGTCCGAGAAACAGGTTTGAGGTCCAGGGACAGGCGAGGGTCATAAACAGAGGGATCAGAGAATACAAGAGGTTAAGAGAAGCAAACTTAACTCTTGAATCCGGGAGGCAGGCAGGGGTCAAGAACCAGGAAGTCTGAGGTGTCGTGGTGCTGAGCAAGGGAGAGACGAGGGGCAGGAGTCCGAGAAACAGAAACAGAAACAGGGTCATTACCAGAAGAGCAGATGGCAGAAGGTATCCGACACGGGCTGCTGAGGCAAGAGGTGGTAATCCAAGAGACGAGAAGGGGGTCAAGGAGCCGAGATCAGAACAGGACATGGGTGGGACAAGAATGCTTGTGAATCATAGACTGGCTGATGATAAACTGGCAGAGTGCTGAGGGAAACTGCTGGCTTAAATACAGAGGGACACAGGTGAGTTGCATGAGCTGATTACCTGAGGATCTGTGAAGGGAGGGGGAGCAGGTCTGTGACAAGGCTGAGGAAAAGAGCTGCTAAAAACACGACATGAGACAAAAACAAAAACAAAACTAAAACTTGACCTAAAACTATAACATTGACAACAAAATGCTACAAAACGTTATTTCTGTATTACTGGAATTATGTGAAGCCACACAATATTATGGTCATAAGTGGTCCTGAATTAATTTATATCTAGCTTGAGAGTAACAGCAAAAACAAAATTTAGACTTTATGACATTGCTGGCTGCAGCACTGCCTCATGAACTGGCCTGCAGGTTATACACAGGGTAGTAGAGTGTATAGAGGCCAGTGTAATTAAAGGGTGCTATATTGCCGGCAGGACTGAAGTGAAGTTTGTCCAACTGACTCACAGATTTTTCAGGAGGAATGTTCAGGTGACAGAGCTGTGGGGAATGTTCCATGGAGACTCTAAATTTTTTCTTAATACTGGAAACCTTGAGTTACTCTTGGTTTACTTGTAAGCCTTGTGTACATAGTTTAGCCAAACCAAACAGTTCCTTAGGGCATTGTCACACTATGACATTTTAGACAGCTTATGTCAGGGTTTCCTCTAGGATTTCTTTTTTAACCATGGTGGTGGTGGGCTGTCTTGAGGGGGGACACAACACCAGAAACATGAATATGGAAGAACATAGATTTGACCATTTCAAATTGAATGATGTTTATTCATTCATTCTATTCACACTGTACTGCTTGTGAACACGAAATGCTGATCAACAGTGTAGCTAACAATTCATTGTAATAAATTATTATTGATAATAAGTGATTAGAACTCTGTGAAGCATAAAGTGGATCCTAGTTCAGAGTTCTCAGTTTAATTCTCTTTTGGAGCTCTTCTGTATGACTCTAGGTATGACTGACTGTGATGGTTGTTTGTCTCTTTGTCTGTAGCCAATCAACGTTTTTTAATGCGCATTTTAAAGTATCACATCAGAAAAGGTGAATGGAAATGACATGATTCGAAAAAACTTCCTCTAATTCGCATAAAAGTTTATAAGCTCACTTGAGGTGTTTTTTTTTTTCAAAAAAGAGTTAATGCGTAAAAGGAGAGATGGAAACACATTTGTTGAATAAGTTCTGACGTAGTGAACATTTACCTCACATGTTGATCAGCTGTTCTCGATATCAGAGTGACTGCACCCGCGACTGCAGCTGGACCCTCCACCTGCTGTCGGCGTATTCTCAGTTACTCCCGGAGTACCCCCCACAGGAGTCACCGAGGGACACAGTCAAATGCCTCCAAGTACACAAAACACATGTAGACTGCTTGGGTGAACTCCCATGCACCCTCCAGGACCCCGCTGAGGGTGTAGAGCTGGTCTGCTGTTCCACGACCAGGACCAAAACCACACTGCTCTTCCTGAATCTGAGATTCGACTATCCGACGGACCTTCCTCTCCAAAACCCCTGAATTGTCCTTACCAGGGAGGCTCAGAAGTGTGATCACCCTATAGTTGGAACATACTCTGCGGTCCCCCTTTTTAAGTAGGGGGACTACCACCCCAGTCTATTGTCTTTTAGTTTGACTTTATTCTCTGCATACTTTTTCTCCGTCAGTTTTGTGAAGTGTGTTCTTGAAGGAAGAACATACTGTGGGTTGAAGGTGTAAACCATCTGTCTAAAACCTTTGTCCTCAACCATGCTGATGGGACACGTCTCCAGTGAACTTCTTCAGGATAATGTCTGTAAATTTGGCTGCTTGCTCTGTAAAACAGGATGATCTCTGGCTCAGAATTTATTTTACTTTATTTTAATTTATTATGTCATATTTTCATTTTATTTTATATTTATTTTTATCTGCTATACGCTCCATTTTGTCCTATGTAATGCTTTTTTCCAAATTATTATTTTTATTTATTTTTCTTGCACTTAGATAAAGAATAAATCAAAAAAATTCATAAATGGGTGTAAAAAAACCCACCCGACTTAACTTAAATGAAAATAAATTGCATTTTAAACATGGATCTGGCACAAACCATTTAAACAATTTAATCTGTGTCTGTGAGGCTTATGTTTAAAAAGATAACATTAGCTAATGTCATGTGAGATGATTTTTGTGATTTCATCAGGAGTGCCCACAGCTTTGTCACCTCTTGAGCCCTGTGCCCCATGTAGTTAAACAAAGCCTTGAAGCAAAATAAACAAATAAATAAAAGAATCGAAACTTGTTATGAATTTAATCAGTCGATTTAATGGATGAATCATTTCATGCTTAGTTACATATTTGTCAATAAAAAAATATATTAAAATTACGTTTCTACAATCATATCTTCAACTCGCCACTACCATAACCTCATAAACCCTGTCAGTATACTGTACACACATCAAATCACAGAATATAAAAGCTACAATTGTCTGTGCCACATTAAAACTAAATCAAACATGTGGAGGTCCGCCATCTTTTTTTCAAAGTTTTTTAAAATTATTTTTAACATAAATCACAAGCAAAAAACAAACTAAC